GAGAGAGAGAGAGAGAGAGAGAGAGAGAGAGAGAGAGAGAGAGAGAGAGAGCGAGAGAGAAAGAGATAGATAGATAGATAGAGCGAGCACAATAAATCAATAGATTAGATCGATTAGACTGTCTAAATCTCGCGTGCGAGGCTTCGCCAGGCGCACAGATATCCCTTCAACTGCGAAATCACGCGCGCGTGTGTGCTATTTTCACCTTGCTGTGTCAAGTCCATCGCTTTCGAGAATCAACGGAGGCGGCGTTCCGTGCCGCGGCGACGACGACGACGATGATGACGATGACGGCGGCGGCGCGTTTGTCGGCATGTCTGAAATTCATCGGGGAAATATCGTGGCGTTGGCGGATTATGATTTCATTTTGCACGCGAAGAAAAACGCGACGATGTTCCATCGGCACGTCATACGGAGCTTCTCTCTCGCGAGGTTTTTGGACTAATAAAACGCCGACCGACGTCGTTAACGCAGTTAACGGAACACCGCCGTAAAAGTGTGAGGGAGTGAGAGAGAAAGACTGTCGTCGAGCTCACGAATGTAAAAAAAATCGATAGGCATGAGAGAACCGAGAGCGCACTGGCGGCTCTTTCTCGCGAAAGCACGCGACAGCGAGTCGCGTGTGCGTGCGTGTGTAATATTTCTCGTGCGACTATCAAAATCATCGCATTATGCGGCATTAAATATCGCCGCACTCGATAACCCGATAACAGTCGCGACGCGTCCTCGGACTTCGACGCGCCCATCACGAGCGTGATCTTTCCGCGCGCGTCACCGGCGAAGCGGGAACGAGAAAGAGGGGGATCGTGCACACGGAGGGAACGTTGCGATTTTTCTCTTCTCATATATATAAGATCCTTTTCGGCTGTACCGTGCCCTTCAGCAACGCAGGGAAACAGATCAGTGAGTGGACCTCATCTCGCTGAGCAGCAGCGAGATCTTTTTACAGAGTGAATTTTAGTTCTTGAAATTAAAATGTAAACGACATATATAAAGGGACGACAAATTGGGACGGGACATTAATGTGTTGCTCTCGGTTACAAAATTCTGTGCAGCAGTCCTTATTAGAAGCTCACTGCATTCTGCAGTAATTAAAAATTAAAAAATACTAGTTCTATATAATACAATTAAGTGAGACATTCAGTTCAATTAAAAGATTATTACATTCTCTGAACGTAGTAATTTTTTAGTTTAACTTCTGCGAATATAGTAATTTTTTAGTTTAATTAAATTTTACGAATGTAATAATTTTTTTAATTTAATTCAAAAAGATACTACATCATCAAGTAAGAGCTTACTGGATTTCGCGAGTGTAGTAATTCAAAAAATTTTTTGATCATTACAGAATACAGTTTCAGTAAAAATCACTACAGAATTTTGCAACCGAGGAGCACGTCGACATCTTGCTCCACTCTGTCATCCTTTCATACGTGTTGTTTTACTGCAGAGCATGGTATTTTTTTTTTTTCACTTAATTACGTTTTACAGTGATTTTTATAAAGTTCCCTCGGTGTGGTGCGTCGTCGTGTTCACCGAATCCACGTCCCGCTTCTCTCCCCGCGACACAATGCGCATTTGTAACTTGTACAGCTCACATTTGTACACTGTACTCGTCCACTCTCGCGTGTGCCCGCGATATTGTTTCCCAATCGAATTTATTTCTTTCGTCCGGTGAGAGAAACACATTTTCTACTTCATTTTATTTATTTGAAATTGTGGGAATTGTATAGAAATTGTGGAAATAGCAACTGAGAGACGTAGGAGAGCAGAAAGAAAGAGAAAACGAAAATAAAACGAAGTGCAATCGAAATGTATACGAGACTTTGTCGGTGCAGAGGGAGCAGCCATTAACCAGGTGTCGCAGGCATCCCTCGAGAGGGGAACGCTTTCGAAAATGTCAGTCTTGTCGCGAAAGGTTCCGCTGTGCAAGAATAGCATGAACGGAGCAACGGCGCTAATAATGATGATCCACCTGCTATTTTTATCCGAGCGTGACGATATTTATATCTGGAAGAATCATTAAAAATATGCCTGGAAGAGCGGTTAATGACAGCTCCCGTGACACCGACCAAGGATGTGCTGCAATTACGCGGTGGTTAAGTAAGACGGATTTGTGGCGTTTACGTGGACACTGGAAACGAGTATCGGTCCGCTGCGTGTACGGAGCTGCGTCTCGGGAGCAGATGGACTAAGGTGATCAGACTCCCCAGCCCCAAGTCCGGGACATTTGATGAATATGCGGAGAGGAAGGGGGAGATCACACTGAAAATTATTTACATATACATATATATGTACAGGTGAAATAATATTTTAATTATAGATATATATATATATATGAAGAATAATTAAGCAATAACGAAGGCCTGCTACACACCGTAAAAATAGAAACTATCTCTAAGGTGAAACTGTTGCCACTTTTACTTAAAATTAAAGAAGAAGCAGAGCTGTGCCGCACTGCACCAGAGCCTGTGAATTTTCTTGATAAGATCTTGCTTTGTTGAAATGTTTTCTGAATGAGTATAAAGCGGGACAGTTTGGCCGAATTCGGGACGAAGGGTGAAAAGTCCTGGGACTGTCCCGGGAAAAACGGGACGTCTGGTCACCTTAAGATAGACGCGCAACACGATTTCTTGAAATGGTTATTTACTTCACTTCATCAAGTTGGCATGAGTAAAGTACTATTGACAGAGATCAGGTGTCTGTTTGCTCTCGAGACGCCTCTCTGTACATCGCGATGTGAAAACACGCGTGTAATCAAAAAGCTTATTTCCACTTGTGCGTTGCGAAAACTTCCGTGACGCGTAATACCCACTTTTTCTATCTCGTTCGTCTTTCTTCTTCTTTTTTTTCTTTAAATATAGCCTTAACCCTAGATAAGTAACGTTATTTTTAGTTTGTTATTAATGGGCGATGTGTGAGAGAGTAAAACCCGCTCACGTCTCACCGTTGAATTACTCCGAACGGTTTTTTAGGCGAGGCGAGAATAGACCGTGTGGCAAAGTCTTATTTCGAACGAGGGACAACAAGAAAAAAAGCATCGATATCACGAATAAATAAATACTGTTCCAAACATACACACACACGCACGATGTTTCCTCAGCAAAGCGAATCCACATCGGAATTGACTGCTGCGCGATTGAGTGCGAGCGAGTGCGCTGTCACTCGTCGTTACATTTCGATCTAGAACGCGGAAACGTCCTGGAAGCAGTGCAAGCTCCTCGATTTCGCGAGACATCCCCGTGTCTTTCCGCATTCTTCGAATTAGAGTTGTGAAAATATCGATTCAATCTTTCTCAATTTAACAATTGATTTAAACCAATATATTCCAATATAACTAATTGATTGATTTCAACGCATTCGATTGGCGATCGATATGAGCGAAGGAAATAAAAAATCGTTCAATTAACAATTGAACTTAGCAAATTTTATTAAACATCGTTTTACTGACAATTGATATGAGCAAATTCAACCATCAATTAAACAGCCTCTAATTAAATCTGCTAAGTTCAATCGCTAGTTAAAATAATATATAACCATTAGTTTTGTGAATAATCATTCTCAAAGCATCGTGACGTCATGGAAAATGCTAATAATTGAATAGGATTTACGTTGAAAAGAGTATATCAATTGTTATCAAATCAAGCAATCTTCGATTGAATCGGAATTTGCTCACATCAATCGTCAATTAAACGTTCTTTAATAAAATTTGTTGAATTCAATCGTCAATTAAGCTGCCTTCAATTAAATTTACTAAATTCAATTATTAATTGAACGATATTTAATTCCCTTTGTTCGTATCAATCGTCGACTGAACCGTCTTTAATTGAATTTGTTGAAACCAATCGTCAGTCGAACGGTTTTTCACTGAATTTGTTGAAATCAACTGTCAATTAAACGGTCTTCGATTGAATTGGCTCATATTAATCGTCAGTTAAATACGATAATTAGTTAAAAGTAATTTATTACTCGCAACTCTGCTTCGAAAGTCGCGGTCGGCTGCAACTCTTTTTCCTCCGCGTCTTCCTTTTAGTGCACGCTTGTGTTCCGGACGTCGCCAGAAAAAAGAGAAACGAAGTAGATTGACCGGAAATGCGCGGATACTTGCGGTCGCGAGCGCTAATCTCGCGGTCTATTAGTCGACCGACACGAAGCAAGAGAAACGAAGGAGGGAGAATGGGAGCGATGGGCTCGGGTCGGGGAAATGCACGTCGAGCCAACTTGGAATATACGACGAGGGTCCCCGTGAACGTCATGCAGAGACAGAAATTCCCGGAGGGATAGTGGACACGCATTATCCCGAAAAATCAAGATTTCAAATTCCTGAAACTGGAACAACTTATCGAAAAATCAGACTACCGAGCACCGAGAAAATGTCCCGAGATGCAGTTTTCCTAAAGTGCATAATTGCTACTGTTATTAGTGAGTAAATGTTATTAGGGAGAAAATTCCTTGTTTGTTATAAAAGAAACACACTTTTACACTTAGAAACATGAGATAAACAGAATTGTTTCGCGCAAAAACTATTGTCCCAAGAAGAGTACATGCAGATATATTGATATCTACAAGGAGAAAATATTGTAGTAAAAATTACGTTAAAGATACGTTTCTTTTTGCAATATTTTTTGTAAACTTGGACCATACTGAAATTACAGTATGAATCATAATAATAGAAAAATTCGACGACCTACCTGACATATAATAAAAAAAACATTCAAATAATTTTGTAGCAGTCATTCAAGTAATTTTTTAATAAAAAATCAAACATATGTGTATAAATGTTTTTAAATAAATATATAGTAATTTCAGTCATAATCCTATATAGCCGAAATTACTATATATTTGTTATAGATTAAAAAAAATTTTATTATAATTTTTACTACAATATTTTCTTTGTATATATATCTCTCTATTCGACACACTCTTGCACTCAAATGAGTAAATATTAATGATTGTGCAATGACATTATTTCAATATTTTGGTAAAA